CTCGTTACAACCAAGGTATGCAGAATACCATCTCTGAACGCACAACATGTGGAACCTTGAAGCAGATGGGCTACAGCAGCAGAAGACCACACCGGGTGCCACTCCTGTCAGCTAAGAACAGGAAACTGAGGCTACAATTCACACAGGCTCACCAACATGTGACAACAGAAGATCTGAAAAACGTTGCCTGTTCTCCACAGTCACCACATCTCAATCCAATAGAACACCTTTGGGATGTGGTGGAACGGGAGATTGGCATCATGGATGTGCAGTCGACAAATCTGCAGCAACTGCGTGATGCCATCATGTCAATGTGGAGCAAAATCTGTGATGAATGTTTCCAACACATTGTTGAATCTATGCTACGAAGAATTAAGGCAGTTCTGAAGGCAAAAGGGGTCCAACACGGTACTAGCAAGTTGTACCTAATAAAGTGGCCGGTGAGTGTATATATACACACATACAGCGGGTAAAATAAGTATTGAACACGTCACCATTTTTCTCAGTAAATATATTTCTAAAGGTGCTATTGACATGACATTTTCACCAGATGTCGGTAACAACCCAAGTAATCCACACATACAAGAAAACCAAACAAATACGTTCAGAAATTAAGTTATGTTTAATAAAATGGAATGACACAGGGAAAACGTATTGAACACGCTTACTGAAATATATTTAATACTTCGTACAAAAGCCTTTGTTGGTAATGACGGCCCATTTTTGGCCCATTCTTCCACACAAACGGTCTTCAAATCTTCAAGGTTCCGTGGGCCTCTTCTATGAACTCTGATCTTTAGTTCTTTCCATAGATTTTCTATTGGATTCAAGTCAGCTGATCGGCTGGGCCATTCTAGCAGCTTTATTTTATTTCTCTGAAACCAGTTGAGAATTTCCTTGGCTGTGTGTTTGGGATCATTGTCTTGCTGAAATGTCCACCCTCGTTTCATCTTCATCATCCTGGTAGATGGCAGCAGATTTTTATCAACCTCAATCAATCAATCAATCAATCAATCAATCATACCTTGGTAATGAGACACCTTTTTAGAGGCCATCAGTTGGGACTGAACCAGCTGATATTAATTTGCACTGACAAGGGGCAGGATTGCTTTCTAATTACCGATAGATTTCAGCTGGTGTCTTGGCTTTTCCTTATTGCACCTCCCTTTCTTCATGTGTTCAATACTTTTTCCCTGTGTCATTCCATTTTATTAAACATAACATAATTTCTGAAGTTATTTGTTTTGGTTTTTGATTACTTGGGTTGTTACCGACATCTGGTGAAAATGTCATGTCAATAGCATCTTTAGAAATATATTTACTGAGAAAAATGGTGACGTGTTCAATACTTATTTTACCCGCTGTATATATTATATTTATATTTAACAATGTGCTGAAGAATGGCCTTAGTACCGTCTTCAGACAGATATGTTTGTTATGAATGTTCTCATTAATAGTATTATGGGAACACAAGGAAATTAAAACAACCCAACTTTTGTGTTTTAAGGGTTCCTTTTACCTACGGTATGGATTATGGTTTTGCCTGAATGGGTGTTACAATATCTAGTGGACTTGCAATACCAGAGTACAGTATATTATAGGCTACTATCATTGTACAGCGTACAATTTAACCAATACAGTTAGTTAGGGATTGGTCCTAGTGTTAACCTTTAGTCTGTCTGTCCATCCATCTTATCTACCTTCCTATCTAACCTTAATTTAGGAAATGAATTATATTTTCCATTTTGAGTTGCAACTGGCAAACATGAAAACACTCAGATACAATGTATCAACTGTCAGTGACACAATTCAGAAGAGAAAACGTAGCAATCAAATGTCATGTGTTTGACAATTCTGAAAAAACAAAATGTAAAATCACTGTGGTTACTTAAAATAAAAAAATGAAAATGGGCATCAAACCATCAAAGGAGCACTTAATTAAAAACTCATTGGAACGCTATGTGATATTTTGCAGACTTGGCTTTTTACAGTGCAGCTCTCCTTGAAAATCGAAATCTTAGACAGTCTCTGTACACTTTCATGAGAAATGATGTCTTAAGTGTGCTCTGGGAGTCTACTACACATTCTTCAGATCGGGTTTCAATACTCTTTGAACTCTAATTTAATATCACATGCTCGTAGCCCTACCCCACCCGCACCACCGGGACAAATGGAAGCATGGCTGGGTAAAACGAGGAGATGCCAGCTTTGTGCTGTTTGAGGAACAAAGGCCAAACTGAGATGCGACGGCGTGCATAAAGTTGTAGAACTCTTGTCATATTTCTTCTCTGTCATCTTTACAACAACTGGAGAGTGAGCGCCGTACGTGTGCTGCGTCAGCACAGTTGTGCTGCCCTTAGAACAGTTGTGCTGCCCTTAGAACAATGCTGGTGACATGCTGGTGGAGCGATGGCGTCGGGGTGGGGGGGATTAGGGGAGCTGGTGTCAGGTCTGGAGCGACAGACAGCGATCTGTGAACAGATACTGTGAGTACATCTGTGTGAGCTTTGGCAGACAGGACTTCATCTGTTCCACAGAACATTTCACATAAACATGCATGACGTTTTTGTTTTTAAGAGATTTCAATTCCAACATGAACGTATATGAAAGTAACATATACAGCAAAAGAAAACTTCACGTCATTCAAAGGACCCGTTAATGAAAAGTATAACCCCAGAAGCTCCTTAAACAGAGTGCAGCTTCTGTGAGCTCTTATCTAGCTAAGCAACGGCTGCAGCTGTTTTGACAGCAATGTATCATTGATTCAACCCCTGCTGTTTAGACCAACATCTGGTGATGCTTGCTCATTTCACAGTTAACTAAACAACTGGCAGACACTGCGTCACATTTCCATGATGAGGCTAATGAGGACGGTCCTAACTGTACGCATGGAGGATGGGAATGGACCATTGTGGCCAAAGATGACCTGATTTAACAAAACAGTTCAGAGAAGAAGCGCTGCAAATGAAACACTAGTTTGAGTGCAGGATAATAGAAACACACTTGTGCAACAGAAAACTACATTTAAAAAAAGAGTCCAATTTGGTTTTCTGTGTCTCCGTACAGACGCATATCTAAGGTGGTGATCACTCATCTGGTTAAAAAATATGGGTTCTATAGGTAGGTCTCTGTGTGACCGTCCCCAACACCTTGTCTATAAGAAGTCTGTCATTGGTTATGTGTGGTAAAACTTCATTGGACCTTCACAGATTATTGCCAGATAAATTAAACCGATGATGGTCAAAACTAATACTACCAACAATTACATCAATTAATCCACCTATCAAAATGTTTGACGGCACAGTGCTTTTAAAAACAGATGTTGGTATACTTTTAAGGTACAACTTGACCACCGGCATCCTAGCACCAAACACACCGGCATCCTAGCACCAAACAC